TACAATTATAGACCACAGAAAGGCTTCCTCAAAAGTACCCGCCCTTATTATAAACATGTATTATAGAGATATTTTCTACTAACTACAGATGTCTCGAGACAGAATTTAAGAAAACTCTATCCTAGTTTGCTCACATTCATGAGAATAACTCCATCATCCCCACCACATACATACATCATAAAAAGCAAGTCTTGTCAATGAGAAATGAATGCCAACACATATACCAAGAGTCAGAGTCAAAGTACCCCAGGAGGACAAGATGCCCACACGTGTCTTCAGTCACCTATCTTAAAAAGCAAGCGGCAGTGTCAAGGGGGCACTTTGCTTTTAATTGTTGTAAAGCCTGAGTCAAACACAAGGAGCTAGGGAGGAACGGACTTCATCTACTAAAAAGAGTCGACAGAGAGGGACGTGCAGTGCCGTCCCTTGTTCAAGCTGGCAGTGACAGTGAGTGCACTGTGACAGCTGGCTCACAGGACACAGGCGTTCACGAACACTGCGGAGGTGCATGTGCTCCAGGAAAACAGGAGGGCTAGGCTGCTGCCCTCGCTGGCTCAGCAGTCAGCTAGCTGAGACCCAGCCCACAAAGCACGGGAAGAGCACACAGGGCTTGCTTTCCACCACTGACGGCGCGCTGGAGCACAGGTCTGAACACGACCCCAGAACATCAGCAAAGAACACTGGTCTTTCTGATGGCACACACCTCTACGGAAGCCACCAAGGTGTCCCCAGTGTTTCAGTTTATGAAAGCACACAAATGATGCGGAGTAGACAATCACTAATGCCTAACAGAACACTTCTGACCTCAAAACGGCTGTCCACTGATACTTCCTTATTCATAAATAGGATGTCAGTTCTTTACTGAACATAATCTAGTATTTTTAAACATTCAAAGGCTGCTCTCTAAGATCAGAGAGCAGAGGGCTGGAGAGATGATGGCTCAGCAGTTAACAGCACTTTCTATTTTTTTCTAGAAGCCTCAGGTTTGATTCCCAGCATCGAAAGGGTAGTTCACAACTGTCTACGCCCTCTTTTGACCTCCAAAGGCACCAGCCACCTATGTGGTACACAGATGTACATGTAGGCAGGACATCGATAGGCATTAAAAAATTCTGTTTCCTGGGTCACATAACTAACCAACAACCACAACTACGAAAGGTGAATGAAGAAACTCAACTAAATTTCAGAAGTAGAAGGGACCTTACAGACAAGCAATCTCGCACACGGGGTCCCAACTCAGTGCCTGCCTCAGGGTTCACGGTCACAGCAAAGCAGGGACATGGAAAACGGAGTAGTAGTGCATATCACACAGGGACTGTATGTACCCGAATTAATTGTCAGCAAGTGGAATGAGGTGTTTAGGATAAGTAAACAAACTCCTGAAATTGCCCCGCCCCCACCACAGTGGTAATTAGAAACTGTATCTAGATTTTTAACATGGTTTTCTTCTTCTAAATATCCATACCTTCCCAATTACCTTTTTCTGAGATAGTTTTCCTAGGCACTGTGCAAAGCTGGTACCAAGCACCATCTTGGTCTCTGAAGGGCTAAGCCAGCTCAGTTCCGATTTCTCCCAATACAAAACGGACAGAGGCCTGGTGGCTTTGGTATCAGGTAGGGCTCATGACTATAAAGTTGTAAGAGAATTCCTCAGGACAGACAGACCTCAGACTTGAGGGTGAAAATGTTTGGGGAAATCCCACAAGTTAGAACATCAAATGCCAAAACATGCCTGCATCCAGGTTCAACCTGGCAGTGGAATGACAATCTTATGCTGGTATGTCTCACCTAGAACAAGTTGAAAATTAAAAAAAAAAAAAAAAATTAAGCACAAAACACCATGTGAAAGCATCTTAAAAGTTGTGTGGATAGAACTGACTAGAGAACGTTGAATTTCAGATGCTTTTAGGTATCAAACTTTAAAAAGGTTTCTGAGTCACACTTACTTCATGATCACAATAGACTATATTTTGATTTTTTTTTTCAGTGCTAGGGATCAACCCAGAGCCTCACACACACACTATGCATTCCTACGGCGACTTGCATCTCAGTGCTAGGAAATACACATGCTTCTTCTCTGTGGAGTAGCACTTCCCTTGTGCCGCCTGACTGACCTCCTGTGTGTGTGCTCTACACCTACCTAGAAGAACCACGACTAACACCGCATCAACGGGCAACATCACTCACTGTGTGACTTCGAGATTTTGTTTTTTAAAGGAGTCTATTATCTACTGCTGGAGATCTTCCTGGAGTCAAAAGGAGACAGTTAAACCAGATTTACAGAACAATAAATGGAGATTGTCACTCACGAATAGTTCTTTAACTAAGTACATGAACATTTCTAATTTTTATTAAAACAGAAAGCCCTATTATCTTGCAGCTTAATTTATGTTTAGAGAGGGCTGAATTTGGTGATGAGCTCAGTGGAGCACTTGAGTTTCCTACTGCCAGTCAGTCATGTGCTCTGCTTTCTCTCAGCCCTTACCTAGGTCCCCTGATCAAGGTCTTCGAATCCTAAGGTCCTACACCAGAAGCTTCTAAGGCTGTGTGTTATTGGAGTACCTGGTAAGCTTCAAACTAGGGTACAGTGACAGATCTCCTGTCTAAACACGTAACTGTGGCTTCAGTGTTTATCCATTCTGTATGTTAATGAGCATCTATAACTGAAGGGAAACGCTATTTCCCACACCCCTGCTCCTCGCATGTATCCATATCTTTCGATTTCAATGGATATGATCAGTAACTGTAGCAAATTCTTTTTAACATCTTAAGTCATCATGACCAGGTCACTTTTTACCCTTTCAGTGACTATTGCTTTACAAATTAACATAGTTCATACTTCAAGAGTTTTCAAATTCACATTTTTATTAAAAAGCTCAATTTTCCTTGTCTGAGCTGACTAGTCATTAGTATTCTACTGATGGAAGGTGCCTGCTACTCCGTAAATTTGCTGTACCATTTTACTTTCTTTTCTAATCAACTAATCAACCTTAAGAGTTTAAAAATTTGAATGTTTCATTTTTCCAACATTAAAATACCAAGAAAAAAGGGGGTGGGGCTAGGAAGCTAAGCTAAATTGGAAAAGTGCCTCCCTAGCAAACACAAGGGTCAGAGTTAGATCCTAGAACCCATGTTAAAATGCTGGGGGTGGTGGTACCAATTAGTAAGGCCAGCACCAGGAGGCAGAGACAGGAGGGTCCCTGTGGCTCACAGACAGCTGGTCTAGCTCAATTTGTGAGCTCTAGGTCAATGAGGGACCCTGTCTCAAAGGGAGTGAGTGGCGAGGTTCAACACCGGTCTCTACATGCGTATGTGCATGTTCACCAACACCAAAGACATGTTACAAAGAACCCTGGTACTTCAAAAAATCATCAAGGGAAACACAAGAGGACGAGATTTAGTCCACAGCCTATTTTGATGTTGGGAACAGAGAAAGCCTGTATCACAGAGAAAGCCCCCCACCCCCAAGAATATCTGGCATAAAAATAGATGGCTTTTCTTGAGAGATTGCGAATTTTAGCTTCTTAGTCAAATAGGTGTTTACTCAACAAAAACAATTCCTGTGAATACATGTTCTCCACGATCTTCATATAAAGTACTGACCAGAGTAACTGTTTAGTCATACTCTTTAAATTACAGCAAGTTTTGACTTCAAAAGAAGCACTGAACTTATAAACAGTAAATGGCTCTCATCAAAATGTCGGAGGTATCAACTCCGGTAAACTCTTAGGATCCTTTTGTATTTCTCAGTGCTCTGGGGAGATGATCAAATACCAATTCTATTCAACAAAAATGGCACTACCGGGAACAGGTTGGAGTTTGGAAGTGAGAAATGAGAATGTCCTTAGGAAAGTGGATTTTCTTACAGCTTGATAAAGGGACAGGTACCCCCTTTACACTCTGCCTTCCATGACATCATTTCCATGCTACGACCCACAGGACTTTATGGATTTCTTTTAGACAAAGTCTCTCTATGCAGCCCAGCCTGACCTTGAACTCACAATCCTCCTGTTTGTCTCCAGAATGCTGGATTAGAGACCACGGTAAAGGGCTTAAACAATTCTCATGGCCACACGAAACTACAGGCCCTGCAGCTCACTTTCATAGGCCCTGTGCCTACTAAAAGCACGAGCTCTTCACAGCAGCACTGAAAAGATGGATAAAACTTAGAAGACAGTAATTTTAGCCAGGCAAACTGAAAAGCTTAGCATCTGTTGCTTAATTCATTTTTGAATGAGAAGTGACTAATCTGTAGATAAAGCAGGAATGTGAGTTAGGACACAAAGAAAAATCAGCTGGTGTTTTCACAGCGGTGGGCTACATAATGGCTGCAAAATGCAAATTAATGCTAGGAACATGTAGTTCACAAAGATGGAGGACAGCTTGGGCTAGAGGCTGGGGTCTGGTAAAAGGACAAAAAAAATACAAGATTATTGTACTTCTAATGAAGAAATTACAGTTTGAAAATGGAACTCAGAACTGATACTTTATAATAGATAAAAACGCTGAGGCTGATATACACAGAGCCAATTTAAAGAGATCAGCATAATGTAGAAAAACACTATAGATGGTACAGACTACTACATTTAAAGGGAATAACTTGGCAATATCCTTTAATCTGCAAATTATATAAACAACAATGAACTGTGTAAGAGATGAAATATATGATCATGTTATAGAACAAAAATGGAGTAAAACATTTTTTACCATCTTGACTATAAAAGACACTGGATTAAGGTATGCTGAGAAAATGTAAGATATAAGGAACACACAGCACTCACTTCAAAATAAAAGGCAGATAGATCATTACATATTCCCTTTGTGTTATGTACTATTTCTGACTTGGATGAAATCTTAAAGAACAGTGACATGATGTGTAAACTGTAAACAGTGAAGCTGTGGGCTTCACGAGGTGCGAATTTTACACCCAGTATCATCACTTGAGTTTGGAATTAACATATTACTTTAGAAGATCATCTAAGTGTCACAAACAAGAAACATGTATATACTGAAATTTTATTTCAATCGCACAAATGAAGTTAGCGTGTAAGAAATTTAAATGAAACAGTTATGGTAAAAACAGCAAAGAACTGAAAAACCTAAACAGGAAATACACCTGCAGCATGAGGAGTCAACATTCAATGTTTCATCTTTAGTTCTGATTGACACATTATGCTTGTAAGTTTTGAACAAACTTTGAGATCATGACGACTATTCTTTAGAGATTTCAGCACCAGCACTAAGGTTTGTACATTCAGGTTGTTTGCTATTGACTTGCTAGCCATTTACAGGGTGTGTTGTAGAGCTGTCGCAGGTCAGATCACAGTGTTGAGGAGAGCAGTGCCTTCCTGTAGTTAGAAAGGATCCCTAAACTGTACTCAGCTGAAGACATTCAACACACAAAAGCAAAACCCACCATCATACTATGGTTCCAAGGAACAGTTCTGGGAAAATAACCTAAGCTTCGGTTTCCCATTTTAATCACTGAAATCTCTAACAATGACAAGACTGTCATGTATGACAGTGAACATATAGAATAGTCCAAGTACGCTTCTAGGAAGGAACACATTTAGCCATGTGGGATAATGCAGTATTATGGAGGATATAGCATGAGTCAACACTGGTTCTTTTTTTTTTTTTTATCATTTTACACAGACATTGTGTTAAATATTAGACCAAGGCACAAAACGTTTAGTGCATAAACCAGTTTCTTTTAGGACTTAGCATCTGACTTTAGTATTCTGTCTCACTTTGGACCACTGATACCCAGTACTCTACCTATTACAGACTATTTAACTTCAGCAACAAAATCAAAAGTGATGTTTGATCAGATCTGTAAGGGATGCACACATTTACATTATCAAAGGAGCGCATAATCAGAAGTTCAACAGTAAAATGCAATGACTATTTCTTTGAGAGAACAACTTATGAGCTTACTGCATCTTTAATGCCTTTACTATTACTGCATGACAATGGAGAACGGGTAGAAAAAGAGCTGTGTATTTGAACTATAGTAGCTCATCCCTCACAGTTTAATCTAAAAATGAAGTTTCTACAGAAACAAACTCTTAACAAGGAAAAAAAAAATCCTCATTCAACTTCTCGGTAGTGTGATGACTGCAAATTGTAGCGTTTAGAAAACTACGCTGTCATCAAGCTTTGTTTTAAAACTGAGACGTACGAAATCTAGAAAGCAAAAGAAAGTGGATTATTTCCCCCATTTTTTTTTTTTTTTTACGTTTTGATAACCAAAGCAAGTATGGCACATTAATAACTCAAGCATAAATCATGGAGAGCCTGGAGAATTTTTGATTTCCTAGATTTTCCAAAAAGCTAACATTACAACAAATAGAATTTCTCCCTTATTTTAATCTTGCCAATTATAACATAAAGGGGTGGAACACATTCAACAATCTCCCCCCCCCCCCCTCTCTCTCTCTCTCTCAGGGTCTAAGTATCACTTCAGTTTTATGAAAAGAAAACTGCAGAACGCCCCACTGGTTTCCCTTCATCTGGTGACTTCTGTGACCCCAACTGCTGCCATCACTGATATTTCCTGTATTTTAGCACAACCAAGGTCAAGAGCAGCGTCCAATCAGGAGCACGCACCCAAACACCTGCAACACAGCAGGGACCTAGTGACAGCAACTGCCAAATTCAGTGATCAAACTTTGGAGATCCACAGTGAGATGTAATTCATGTGAAGCTCAGAATCATGCTTCAGACCATTGGAATTGCTGGTTAAAATACAAAGAGCTGAAGACATGATGTAAAAGATTAAGTACTTGGTTTTGTTAACATGTTTATGGACTAAAGTCACAAAATATTTCTCATAATTCATGCAGATAATTGAGAAAAAAAAAGATAGTGCAGAATTAACTTTAAATAAAAAATTATTCCTCCCCTTCCTCCCACTTCCCTATATTCTACAAAATATTTTCCCCTGGGACTAGGCCTTGAAAAGGCCACTACATATTAGTGTGACATGCATTATTATCTGTAATTAAAAAAAGCTAACTTTGTGGTGATTGTAATTACATTATAAAAATGTCCGCATGCATAAGTCTAAAAAAGGTTGAAAACCTACAGGAAATCTATAATAGAATGTTTTACATTTGACCACTGTTTGTATATAGAAGTCATAGATTTGGTAAAGCATTGTAACAATTTAGGAAGGCATCTAAATATTTAAATTCTGGACGGATTTTGTTTTAAACTACAAAATTGCATGAAGGCTAACCCGAGAGACTTCCTATCATTCTAAATTCCTCAAGTGGGACTAAACATTTTAGAACCTTTCTTATAAATACCACCCTTTGAAAGCACATACAATTCCATTTGTTCCATATTTTATGATCTTAACTATTCACGGAATATCAAATATGATAGGAAGACAAACCTGAGAGAAACGTTTACAATGCAACAGCAGAACTTGCTAAATTAAATTCTTCATCAGCGCCCCCTAAAAAAACCTCCTAAGCCTTTATCTTTATTTTAGCAATGGATTGTGGAAAACGTGCAGTTTCATCTAGACATGAAAATATTTCTTGCCTGATGGGTTTAGTACTGCTAGGGAATTCAAACACAATTCTTCATCCTGCGGTAAAGGTCAGAACAGGAGCAGCACGCCGGGAGGGAGCAGCTGATTGCCAGAGTCACTATGTCTGAAGGCTTTCAGAGGTTGGCGCTTTTTCCCTCCTGACTGTATCCATTTTCTTCTTACAGCTTAAAAATCGTAGGGGGTTGTTAACAGTTGTTTGTAGGAATTCTTGTTTTTCTCCAGATTCAAGTCCTGTCTCTCTTAGTTCGCTTCTCTATGCAGTATTCGACTTGCTCAGTTCCTGCCTGATTGCTGCAACAGGGAAGGAAGGAAGGATTTTCAATGTCAGTATTCCAGGAAAGAGATACAGATGAATGACTCATTCCTGAGAAATCCGAAGGGTTGTGTTCAAACTCGGTCATAAAAAGATACAAAATTTACATCTCCATTGTATACATCTTTTATATCACAAAGATTCCAATCACATGTGATTATATTTATGTACCCCAGACACAGACTCTGGTTCTGTGGGCTCCAAAACAAGGGGTGTACAGTGGAATGGATGAGTCAAGGTGTCTTAGAGAAAAATCTGCCTGACTGGTTTCCACCACATACTACACTTGACACTTTAGAAATCTTGTTCATCTTCATTTTTACAAATAATCCCCACTCTAAGAAGACAGCACCTCCGCAACAACCTAAGCCAAGGCTAGCCCCTCCGGAAGAGCAGTGTGAAGAGAGCCGTGTGCATGGTACTTACCATCAATAAGCTCTTCCTTCAGCTTCGCTAGTTCTTTTCTCATTTCATCTAAAATGTCCTAAAGAGCCAAGAGAAAACACCAGGAAACACACCACAGATGAAAGCACAGCTAAGCAGTTTCCTGTTCAGACAAAAACTTAAGAATATCTAGAAATAGAGTTCTTTTGTGTGTCTGGACATGACCAGAGAACAGTCTCGGGTATTAGTCTACAAGTGCAGGTTGTCATCTGTCTGTCTGTGTGTGTGTCCTCCCTCCCACCTTTCTGAGACAATCTTTTACTTGCCTGGAACTCACCAAGGAGGACTGGCTAGCTGGCCAGTGAACCGAGGACACTGCACACCAACGTGCCCGGCTTTTTCATGTGTGTCCAGGGATCAAACTCAAATCCCCATCTGTGTGCTTGCTCCCAAGGGAGCACTTCTCTCCCGAGGGTCCCTCCACCCCATGGCTTCTGATTCCACAGTTTCAATTCTATTTCCTAGAAGACTAGCCTTAGTAAATTCTGTTTAAATATTTCTTCCTTACCCATCTTTGCTTCTTCTGGCCTAATAAGATATAAAATGGCCAGTTCTGTCATTCAGAGAAGTATCACTCAGATAGCTGTGAGACCCAATCCTCTGGCAGCCATCTAAGAGGTGATGTATTGATGAGGAAGATGTCACTGGACAACCATCTCTTGGCAGATCTGTCACTACATCTGAAGTATGGCAATTTCTTAGGCTCACCACAGCTTGCCAAGTCCTACTTCAAGTACCTAACAGAGCAGGCAGCAGCCACACACAGCTGCTGAGCTCTTGAAGTTAGTCTGAAATGAGACAGACTCTAAGTGTAAAGCATCTGCCAGATTTCAGACTTCGTATTAAGAAAACAATGTGGAGGCTGGCTCTTGAAGAAGACCCAGGTTTGGTTCCGACTCACATGGCTGCTCATAACCCTTTGTAACTCTAATTCTAGGGGAGCTGATGATGCCCCCCTCTGACCTCTGAGAGAGGAAATAATTCATAAATGAAAAGTTTAACAAAACAATTCAGTAAAATGTCAAAACATTGTGTGTATACTGAATTCATTTTTAATATATTTAAGGTTAAATAAAATACTTAAATGATTTTTGTTCATTTTAAACAGATTTCATTTTTTTTTTTATTTTCCACATATGAGTATTTTGCCTGCATGTATATATATGTGTGCCACATGTGTGCCTGATGCCTGAACAGGCCAAAAGAGGGCATCAGATCCTCTGAAACTGTATGATTTTTAAGAGAACATGTGGGTATTCAGAAGTGGATCTGGGCCTCTGCAATAGCAGCAAATGCTCCTAACTACTGAACCACTTCTCCAGCCTCACCCTGTTCCATTTTTTATGTGGGGGCCATTTCGTGTGTGTGTGTGTGTGTGTGTGTGTGTGTGTGTGTGTGTGTGTGTGTGTGTGTGTATAGATGTATGTATGTATGTATGATGCTCTGTGTCTCCATCAAGAATTTACATTAAAAGTTAAAAGAGAATGAAAAAGAGCCACAATTTTCATAGGTGAAAAACAACAGCTATCTTTGGAAGGGATCAATTCCTCTTAAATTATGTGTTATACTGTACAGTTCAGGAAAATTTTAAATTATCTCTTAAAGTTCATTAAAGAAAAGGCTTTTCGTGTACAAATGAGGTTAATGACTATCAACTTGTTAAAATCCTTTATTTTTGCACCAATCTATTTTTATAAATCACTTCAAACTGCTGGAGTCAAAAGCTGGAGATCTGTTTTTGCCAAACTGCTTCTCAGAAATCCTAAGTATGCAAGAGCGTCCATTTCCCATACATTATTGCCAAAATCAAATTTGTTCAGATTTGTTTGGTCAAGTTTTGCCAATATGGTTAAGAGGAAGGTGGAAGCCCACTGTTATGGTAATTGCAAGCCTTATCCTTACATCTCAGCTTTTATTACACTACGACTCCATGTCTCCTTCACTGCTGCTGGAACTTAAAGGGAGCTCATGGAACCAGAATGGAATCAAGATGGCCACGTTAATTTGTCTACAGTATCTGTAACTGTGTGATCTTTCAGAGTACTCTCAGGATCCATGTAGAACATATGTGCGCAAGGTCCCTTGTTCCCTTTTAGGACAGAAAGATTAGAGGAAGCTACCCCGAGTACCCACCTGCTTCAGTCTGTCATAGTCGAGTCCCTCTGTCTGGACTCCATTGGCACTGGGCTGTGACGAAGGTGTAGATTTGGGTCTGTACAAAAGAAATTTCCAGGACAGATAAATTACATTTACAACATTTAATGAGTTTGCAAGTAACTGTAAACTTGCCACCCCAATGCCAGATTTAAATTAACTTCTTAAACCTATTTTGCTAAAAAGTTAATTGTCAAAATTGTAGGACTGATTAGAACAGGAAGCAGAAAATGTCTTTCACTTTTCTCACTTGAATCATCTATTTGAAAAAGAAGGAAAGGGTGACAGTATAGTGAAGCTCCTTTAAGAGAACAGAAGACAACACTCCCTTGGACCAGGTAACACACAGCATGCTGACCATGGACATGACAAAGTGATCAGTTGAAACTCCCAAGGCCTATATAACGCAGTCGGGTTTGGCTTTTGAAACTTTATATTATGTATTAAATATCAAGCAAATCAATAAAGGGAAAGCTCTAATATCTAGAATATTTTATTTAACACAGATCAGTTTATAAATTCTGAGCCTCAGTTTGTAGGAGAAAAATAACTTATTTTTGTTAAGCCTAATTTCTTTGTCTATTTGCTTCCTTTTTAAGCATTAGAACAAAAGCGCTGGAAGCTGACTATTAGGTTAGAAGCACGCTCTCTACCCAACTGGCGCTATCTTCCCATAAAGTGCATACATTTACTTTGTTTTGAAAAGGAAGAAAGAAAACAGAAAAATAAAAACTGGAAAGTTCTAAGATAGAAGCTGTTGGTTACAACTGCACTTTCAAAAGTTTAGCTTTTATTAAAAATTTTAACACAGTAAAATAAGTGTTATGTATGAATTAGGCATATTTGGAATTAGGCATATTTCAAACATAAGTTCCAACATGAAATAAACCAGTCATGGCTCCCTCTCCAATCCTGGAAATAAGAGAAACTCCTCAGAGGGAGCCTGGAGCTTCAGTCATGCATGTTTTCATTTTCTGGTTTAGAACAGTAACCATTCTACAAACCGTTAGTAAATCACGTATTTCAATTTTGCAGAGTACCAATGTTAGCAAATTATCTGAATCAAGACCCAACACATGTAACTTGCTATAAAGTTATATTTCATAATTCCTAAGATGAAACACTTCAAACCCAAAGGCATTGTTCATAGAGATGAAATACTTAATTTGCTTTAGTTTCAAAACTGCTTAAAAAGCTTATTATGAAACAAAAACAACAAACTCAATTTTAACTTATTGGGTATCTGCTTCAACAGTAACTTCCAGAAATTTTGTTTAGTCAGTACTGAGGATTTGTATAAAGCTGCTTCTCCTCTTATGAAGACACATCTTTCTTTGTTGAAGACCCTACTTAATTCTAAAGTCTTAAGATCTAAGTCCCACAGCAAAATATCCAGTGTTCTGTGTATAGTAAATATTCTTGAGGGTTGGCACACTGCATTTTACACACTCAGGGTTATTTATCTCTGCTTTCAAGAATTAAATTATTAATTAATCTGCATTTACCTTTCCCATTTAAGATAATTAGTTACTTTTCTCTAAGATATACTATAATGACTATTTTTGAAATTCCAACAAACGGGTACAACCTGCTACTTAACTGAGAAATACGCTGTATCATATAAACACATCTGCATTTATTAAACAATTTAGAATGTTAATTAATAAACAACTGTGCAAACATGCAACTTTAAAAAAATTTAATTCATGCTAACATGCAATCCATCACCACCACCTCCACCACCACCACCACTACCACCACGAGAATTAACTCAAGGGGGAGAACTTTTCATACTGAAGGAAAGGAGTAATCACCACTTTAAAAAAATTTTTTATTTTATTTTAAAGAAACATTATCCTGGCACTAGGTGTGAGAGTAAGGTCTCTTAGATGACTTTGTTGTTAGGTACTGTTTTTTTCTCTGTTCTAGCAGATTTTCCTAATAAACATTTTGTTAAGACAATTCGCCTTCCTCAAAGAAACAAATAAAAAGGCTGGACTGTAAAATGAACATTTATGGAAAATTAACTGGTTGATAAATAAATCTGCCAAATTTTGATTGCCAGTGGTATAAAAGTAACTTTAGCAAATAAGAATTTGATCAGAGTCCAATTACAGAACTCCAGAGTCCAATTACAGAACTCCTTACTGACAGATATCCTCTCTATGTATTACTTAATTCATGTGTTCAGTAGACCTGATGAACATTTTAAAATATAGATGTATAACATTAATGTATTTTTTTTTCTTTTGAGATAGGGTCTCTCTATGTAGCCCTGGATGTCCTGGAACTCTCTGTCAGTGGCTCTTAATCTTCCTAATACTTCCTAATACAGTTCCCTCATGTTTTGGTGACCCCCCAACCATAAAATTATTTTCATTATGGCTAGGTGTGATGGCACACACCTTTAATCCTAGCACTAGGGAGGCAGAGAGGCACTCGGATCTCTGTGAGTTCGAGGCCAACCTGGTCTACATAATGAATTCTAGGACAGTCAGAGCTACATAGTGAGACCTTGTCTCAAAAAAAAAAAAATTTATTGCTTATTCATGACTGTAATTTGGCTACTGTTATGAATCGTAATGTAAATATCTGATGTGCAGGGTATCTGATATGTGACCCCTGTAATAGGGGTCATTTTATCCCCAGAGGGGCCGTGAGCCACAGGTTGAGAAACATTGCTCTATGTAGATGAGGCTGGCCTCAAACAGAGATCCTCCTCTCTCTGCCCCAGAGTGCTGGGATTAAAGGTGTACAAGTGGTGCCAAGATTACAGGCATATAATACCATGCCCCTCTCTATATCTGTTGCTTTTAAATTATGGGTTTTTATTATAATTGATTACAAAACATGAGGGCTTATTAGATGTTTAAATATGTGTTTTTTCCTTAACTTTAGCAAACTGTTACCTAGACAACTACCTATAAAATAACTATACTGCAATATTTAACTTCCTATTCTATCAAATTAATTCTACAAACTGCTGAAAAGCATCTACAGACTTTTAATTGTTGTCTTTTTTCAATTAAGCAAGAAGCAGATCCTGCCCCTCCCTTTGGGAGGTGGTGGAGGGCAGTGCTGGAGACGCTGAACCCTTATGCGTGCTAAGGACATGACCACTGAGCCCTACTCCCAGACCTGTGTCTTTAATATTCTGAGGTTTGGGGGTTTGTTTGTTTGTTTTTCCCCATTTAAAAAAAAAATCTTAGGGCTCATCTAGAAACAATGTGCTCAAGATGCTAGGTACCAAATTGTTACAGACACCCCCTTTCCTACATCGAGGGAGCAGCTTCATCTATGGTACAATACTGTCCTGTGTTCTAGCAAAACCAGTGGAGGGTCTTTGATTCCATTCTTGAAAATCCTTGTCATATAATTATGAAGAAAGCGGCCTTCAAAGGGAAATGCTTAAGCCACCCACACCATAAGATGATCTGACTTCTATCATTTGTGTTCATCTGAATTCAACTATCAAGCAATAGCAGGGTTCTATATTCAATGTTCAAACTACAGTTAAAATAAGAAACTCATCCTCCTAATGTCTCCCTTGTGGTGATTACCAATCCAGGTAGAAAAAGCTCAGCCCTACCCTGGACATGTTATTGAAAAGTCTGAAATCACAAAGTCACAGCAGGATGATACCTGTGTAATGAATCATAGGACCTGTTGTCAAAAACAATCTGATTTTTCCTTGGAGAATCCCGTCTATGAAGGGGAAAAACCATTTAAAGGGTATACAATAGAACTTTAAAAGATAATTCCCACGACGCTACTGATTTATAGGCTTTTAGTTATAGCAAGCAAAACAAAAATAAAAGGTGTTAATTATCCTTAAAATATTGATTTACTAAATTTTAAATTTTGATACCAATTTACATGACACAATGGCTACTCTTGTAGGCTGCAGCTACCTACTTACCAAGGATCAAAACACAAGCAAAGACATCCCTATTCAGTAAATATCAAAGCAATAGACTTAAAAATATCCGTAGCTTGATGTATACAAAACTAACTATTCTCGGGCATGTAAAGAACATTTCCTCCCATCATGAATATAAAGTCAGTAGATTTTTAATGAAAACCATAGGAACATTCCAATATTAGGTATCATTCATCTCAATGTATTTTTACCACAACACTCTTACCTACAGTTAACTCAGAAACAAGTCGGTCCTGTTTGTTTATGGACACGATCTTTCTTTGTTTTTGGAGACAGGATTTCATGTAGGCTAGGCTGACCTTAGATGAGTATAACCTTAGATGAGATGAGTATAACCTTGAACTTTCCTCTGTCTCACCCCTACCCCTACACCTCAGTGGATTGTGAGAATATGCTACCATGTCCAGTTCACGCGTGTAGGCCAGAGGTTGACGACAGGTGTTTTCTCAACCGCTCTCTCCATTTTATTTTTTGGAAACAGGGGCTCTTGACTGGTCAGCAAACCTATCTTTTCTAATTTGACTATGATTAAAAATGTTGGTTTTTAATATTTTTGGGTATTTATTACTTTTTGATTGATTTGATTTCTTAAGACAGGGTCTCACTATGTAGTCTTACCTGGCCTGGAACTTACTATGTAGTCTAGTTTGGCCTCAAACTCAGAGATCTGCTTGCCTCTGTCTCATGGATGTTGGGATTAAAAAGTGTGCACCACGACACCTAAATTATTTATTTTTTGAATTACATGCAAATGAGTGTTTTGTCTACACGTATGTCTACATGTGCATGCAGTGCCTTCATAGGCCAGAAAACAGCATTGGATCCCCAGGAAATGGAGTTACAGACAGTTGTTGGCTACCATGTGGGTGGCTAGGACTTGAACCTGGGTCTACTAGAGCAACCACTGGGCTACCTCTCCAGGCCACAATTACAGGTTTCAACTGAGATACAACAAATATGTACCTTTTTTTGCTCTCTTACATTATTTGTAATCCTTAGCTGAATTTCAATATAAAACATAAAAGTTTCTTCTAAAATTATATTTTAAAAACTATGTAGAGACTAATGGGGGCATTATTGGTCAATACTTTATTGGTCAGATTTTCATTATTGTTCAATGTTTAATTGTTCTGGGGCAGTAATTCTATTTTGGTTATGTTGGAGATGCCCTAGGTTCTTTGGGAGGTTGTCAAAAATATTTAGGTTAAAACACTTGCAAGTGTTTTACTTGCAAGTTTCTTTCAAACTATTAAAAGAGAAATTATGGATGCAAAGACATAAGACATGTAAGTCTGTTAAATTTGGGTGATAGTTGCATTTTAATATTTGCTGCACTATTTTTTTCTTTTAATTTGAATAAAAAAACAAGTTGAAAGGGATAAAAATATCCTAAAATATCAAAAAATCTGATTAACAAATGTGTCAGCAGAATTTATCAGATAATCAGGAGTAGCAAAAATATGAATTCAGTAGTTGTTCAGTATATGGTGCTTTTATGTTTTCCTTTGTACAACTAAAAACTTTCTATGAGAACATGTATTAACTTCTCTTTAGACACACATGTAATATAAAACTGAGAACAAGTCCGTACCTGGAGATGACAGGCGACTTACTGCCATTCATTGTGTTCGTTCTTTCCCAAGGTTTTCTGGTCGGTTCTTCACAAACAAGAAACAAATGTTATTAAACACACCTCAGACCCAGAACCATTGCAAAACAAGACACGGAAGAGCTATCATTCTATGCACACAGTAGTAATACATATACAAAATTTAAATTCTGAACAATGAGGACTCTAAATTGTATGATTTTAAAACTTAAAACAGAAATTCAGGAGGTAGAGGCAGGAAGAGCTCTGAGTTTGAGGCTAGCCTGGTCTTCAGTGAGTTCCAAGCAGCCAAGACTACATAGTGAGACCTTGTCTAAAAAACTCAAATCAAAGCAAAACAAATAAAACAAAACAAAAAAAGAAAAGTGAGAAGAAATGAGTAAGTTTCCTTAAAACCCCTTATATTATAAAATCTAAATAACCCAAATGATAGTGGTGATAAACATGATACAGAGAGGATGCCTTTAACTGATCAGCACAGTTTACACTAGAATCCAACATTTCACATACATTCAAACAGCTCTCGGGAATCAGTCAATTCTAGGGACTTAGGAGACACAGAATGGACACGGGCTTTGAATGTGATTTTTCTAAATTGGCCGATTTACTGATGCTGTGTCACTGACCTGACTGGATGACTTGATAAAATCAAAAGTGAAACTTTGTCACAGAGGAAAAGCATTTGAGTCACATTCAAATCAAGTTTATCTATGAGTCATGCTCCCACTACATACTTTTATATAAGAAACTTTGTTTCATCTTCTACTGTCTCCCTTCAAGTGGCTTCTGCACATCTTCACTCGGAAGGAAGCTTTATAGTCCCTTCGAACTGTATGCAAACTAAATCTAAACTCCCTTGAAGCCCTGCTTCGGGCTCTGAATTGCTGGTACCAAGGCATCTAGGCAAGAACCTTCAAGTCGCCACTCATCTCCCTGTACTCCATCATCCTTTAATTCTTCCTTTGGTATGGAAACAGCTAAGGCATTCTGTCAATGAACACATGAACGGCAGGTTCCAGAGTTAGTAAGGGAACATCAAAAGACCAGAGGGGGCCAAGATGGAGTAAGAAATACACTAAACACACTAATCCAAGAAATAGAGGATGGAAGACATACCAGGAAGGGGGGAACACCACCAAGACACTGTTGAGACACTGTTATCACAGAAGAAGCAGGTAGAAGGGTGAGAATGACTAGAAAGTTTTAAGATTCAGCACCAACATCTCCTTAACAGATGAGTGAGGCCCTTCCTCAACTAGGGAGAAGCCCCGTTAATCTCTTCTTGTTCACCTGTTTTGTTGTTTGAGACAGTCCCTCACTGTAGTTCAAGGTGACCTGGAATTACACACACAGTCCAGGCTGGTCTCAAACTTGTGGCAATCCTCCTGCCTGTTTGCCAAATGCTGGAATTGCAGGTAAGCATGCCTGGTTACTGTTACCCTTTTAATCTTTTGTTGTTGTTGTTTTTTCCGAGACAGAGTTTCTCTGTGTAACAGTCCTGGCTGTCCTGAACTCTTTCTACACACCAGGCTGGCCTCGAAATCAGACATCTGCCTGCCTCTGCCTCCGAGTGCTGGGATTAAAGGTGCGGCCATCACTGCTTGGCTACAATGTCAATTTTAAGAATTGAATGGAACAAATGAAAAAGGAGCTCTAAACCTTTCTAAATGAAATCCTGGTCTCATATATGTGGGTTACAAACAACTGAAATTCTTATGAAGATAATATACCAAGCCCCATTTAAGAGAAAAACCAAGGTGGACTGTGGAAAACTAGTTCATGGAGTCAGTGTTAATGATGGGAGTAAGTCAATTCAACGTCAAAAGGATTGTTTTTTAGAGTGGGAAAATGAGCCAAGAGGAAAACCTACTACTGCCATTTTCCTACACCAGTATAATTTCTAACTATATACTAAATACTTTTCTTTATATCTACAGATAAATACAGCTGTCACCTTTTTCTTCCCCCAACAGATGGAAACTATTACAAGGATCCACAACCGTGCAGAGAATAAGGGACTGACTTGTGTGGTGCCAAGCCCAGCTAATACATCTGCTCTACAACACCTATCTCTAAAGTTCAGGAAAGTCACAGCTGAGAGGGTGAGAAGCTTAAAGAGCCAGCGGACCAGGCTTGATGCTGATAGGATCCTCCAGACATGACAGGGAAGCTGTATCAAGGACATCTCAGCAATATGGTTACTTGAACAAGACCAGCACAGTGACAACACCAGCTGACATGCCAACACAGACCGGTAATTCCACATGGCCAAACCCCCAAACAAAGAACTACACGTAGTCAATGGCTGCACAGAAAGGGAGAGTTTGTTTCCCTAATTGAGAATGTTTTGAAATATATTATAATGCTCCCGAATATGTGCATTTTATTTCTTCTTCTAAGAACTGTGGTGGTATTGTGTTCCCCAAAATATTATGCACCCTAATAAACTTATCTGGGGTCAGAACAGAACAGCCGCTAGATATAGAGGTGAGAAAATTGTGGCACTCACACCTTTAATCCTATTACTTGGGAGGCAGAGATCCATTTGGATCTCTGTGAGTTCAAGGCCACACTGGAAACAGCCAAGCATGGTGACTCACACCTTTAATCCCAGGAAGTGATGGCACGAAGCAGAAAGGTATATAAGGCGTGAAAACCAGGAACTAGAAGCTTTTAGCCTGGTTAAGCTTTTAGGCTTTTGAGCAGCAGTTCAGCTGAGATTCATTCTGGATGAGGACTCAGAAGCTTCCAGTCTGAGGAAACAGGATCAGCTGAGGAATTGGTGAGATGAGGTGGCTGTGGCTTGTTCTGCTTCTCTGATCTTCCAGCATTCACCCCAATACCCAGCTTCAGGTTTGTTTTTATTAATAAGAACTTTTAAGGTTCGTGCTACAAAGAACTGTTTAAAATAGTTCCCTGTAATGAATAACCTCATGTCTATAACACAAAGAACACACATACACACACACTATGATATTTGCCAAGACAGCATGAGCAAAAATGTTGGTTTTAACAGATTTCACAGTATCAGGAAGAAAAGCATTGATTTCTGAGATCACAGAAGGCAGGAAAAAGGTCACTGCCTTCAATTATACATAAAGCACTTTAACGTTTTTGGTGAGCAAGCAGTCACTTGGTCGAAACACGGGAAAAGAGACTTTTTTTAATTGGACAGTATTAGCATTTAGGGAGTGTTCTCCTGAACTTACCAGGTGTACTTGTTGAAGAGGCCTTAGAAGTTACAGGCTCTGAATCTTCCTAAATAAATATACAGAAACAGTCACACTAACATCACATCACCAGAGATACTACTCTGTGCAGCTAGGTTTACAAGCTCTCTCCTCCCATGGTCTTTCTGCCATCTACCTCATTTTCCTTACATTCTGGCTCACACTGCTTCCTTCTCTTCCTGTCTTCTCCCTACCGTCTTCACAAAGCTCCTTCTCTGGTAAGTTCTGAGAACCTGTACTAGCCAATGCTAGGAACCTGATATGAGATGGATTTGAGGAATGTTATGAAAGGAGGCCAGATGGCCTAGGGAAAACAATTACGGCTGTGTTGAGTGCCAGCATAGGAACAGGTAAGAGAAGTTCACCCAGCTGAAATGTGGAGGAGGACATGGAGGGTAAGGGGCATAGCTAATAAACACAGGGTTCTTAAGGGTGACATATAAACTATTGATTTAATATAACTCTTTACTCTTACATTAGCACAAAGAAATTGAGACGCTTAACAGATTAGAAAACTCGTAAGAATCAATTCACTCACTTAAAGGTGGGCATAAGAACAGAAGTAACTTTGTATGTTTGAATTTCAGTACTTTCCCCATAACTCTCCATATTCAACTCGAGTCACTAAGAATGAGATTATAATTTTATACGTAACACTCAAGGCATTTTTAATACTTGTCTAGTTAGAAATGAGATAAGCAGACAAACTCAAGTGAATTAAGTTCAGACTAAATCATCTTCACACGAGTGTTTCAATAAGGTGGGCTGGAGTCCCGTATCACAAGGTACAGACATTTTATGTTCACTTACACTTCTGTCTTCTTTTTGTTCTGTTTCTATGGTTGACCCTTTTTCAGCAATTCTTCTCCTGGAAAGGCAAATTGATGAGAAATTTTTATGTCACCTACCTATCTTTGTTTGCCTGCCTGCCTGTCTGTCTGTCTGTCTACTCTTGTTCTAAGAACGAAGAGGACAAAATCAAAGTGTCCTTGACCCACTACAGCCATGTGTCTCACCTCCTGGCCAGCAGGGCACTCATCTCCTCCATTAAGCCGCTACCCCCTAGAGGAAGGGGTCCATTCCCACGACCAGCATCTGTTTTGGATGAGGCCAAGTTCACACCCACAGTACTCCCTCCACTTGGGAAAGAGCCATCCTCCACCTTAGTGAGAACACACACATAATAATTTCCTATGTAGATAATAATGTTTACTAACATATTCAAAACAGAGGAACACATCATTATTGATTTCAAAAAAAAATATTTTTTTTAAATTTGAAGACCCAATAGAGTGAATAACGTTGACTTTATGTATCAAAGGGAATTCTATTAAAGTTAAGATCATCGACAACGGGAAAACAGTATTGCCTTTCCATACGATACACTGAAAAAGACACAATCCTGACGGCATTTTTTTACCCTCACCCCAAATATATAATCTGAATCCAATACTAAGGGGGAAATATGATAAACTAAACTCAAAGATAATTTTAAAAAATAACTTTCAGTGATTTTAAAAGGTAATAAAGATTGAGGAACTGTCACAGATTAAAATAAGAGACATTACAATTCAATTTAACAAATGATTTTGAACTAGAAAAAAATATGCCCTAAAAATTATTAGCTATCCCCCTCCAAATTTACACTGAGATAGAAAAATCAGAACATGGTATTTCTGACTTATTCTCAAACCATTTAGAGACGAGACTGTGTGGGGTAAACAAGACATACGCAAAGAAAACGAGACAAATGGTGGTGAAGTGTTAACAGTCAATCTGGAGACGACAGGGTCACAGACACTCTTCACACTAACTACCCTTACACCTCTTCACACTAACAGACACTCTTCACACTAACTACCCTTACACCTCTTCTTAAATTTTCAATTATGTTGGTTTTTAACCAACAAAGTTAATAACGGGTTCACATCAGCATAATACAATAACTTCACTATTTTAGACACACATTAAAAGTTCAGTAACTTGGTAATTTACCCGAGACACTTTCCTAAGTTTTGCTCCCGCAATTGCAGCTGCAAGTCCAGTTAACGGGCGATTGTCTTCTGACAGGGATCCAGAGAAAATTCCAGATGCAGGGAGAGGAGGGGCGGGAGGTGGCGGAGGAGGTGGAGGAACTTGATTCGGAAGAGGGGGTGGAGGAGGAGGTGGAGGAGGCCCAGCAGATGGCAGTGGAGGTGGTGGAGGTGGTCCAGGCGGGGGAGGAAGTGCTGAGGCATAGGTAGGGCCTGTTGGGAGGGGTGGGGGTGGGGGAGGTGCAGGTGGTCCCAAGACAAGGCCTGCGAGGAAGAAAAGTCAACACAGCCGTCAACAACAGAGCTAAATCACTGTATTTTACAGGAGCAGATATATAGAATGACATTCTAGAGTAAGCTGACTCAGACACTGCACATAAGAGATTAATTGATCATAATACTTAAAGTCTAGACTAGTTTTAACAAAAGAGACAAGAATTGAAAGCCAAAGTGTATACACAACCATTTAGTATTTGACCCTTAGTAACAGACCCAATGAGACCCCTTCCAAGGGATTTGAAAACTAATGCTTACATTATTTTAGAAAAGTATGCAATGTTCAATGTTTTACACACACACACACACACACACACACACACACACAGAGTTAGTACTGCCTAAGATAACAGACCCAAGGTAATCCATGTAAAACCTTCCATGCTGAGATAATATACTTAACTATGATGACAAAAAGATATTTGTTTACAGATAGATGAAAACTGTAGAGAAGTGGGTCTCAGGTTTTAGTATTTTAAAGGGATTCTAGATGTAAATTTAACACATAGCCCAAGTTGAGAATCACAAAAGAAATAAAATGAACTAATATGGGGCAAAACCCCTAAAATAACTGAGAAATAATTAATAATTTAAATATAGAGCTGTTTTAGCCCTCAAGGTAGAGTAAAATCAGAGTAAAGAATTTACTTAGCATCAAAATACCAAATTAATGAGTATTTTCTTAAGACTCAAAAGGGCTAATCTTTGCTTCTGTAAAGACAGAGTTGAGTTTGCACACTGGGTAGTTGCTGTCACTTCAGAGGCACACACACAGAGAAATGAAGGGCTGAAGGTGAACTGTCCCATCCTGCAGACTGAGTTCTGAGCCACAGCAGGACAGTTAGCCTTGTTGGGCTGCAGGCGCCTCTAGATCAGATGTCAATCATGATATTAAATTACACATGTTCTAATTTGATTCACCTTTTAGAAAAATCTGATCATCAAAGAGTTCGTCTGAATCTAGACTGTAACACTGTTTCTATAAGCATGAATTTATTTTCAGCATCCTCACTACATCGGATACTCACAGACAACAAAAAGCAGGGCCACCATGCGTCTTCTTACAGAACTAGGTCATCTCCATGTACATCCTCCACACCTACTGCTCTGTGTCCCTTTCTTGCTGCCATGCAGCAGGGCTTGTGTGTGGGGAAAACTTTCAAAGACTCTCTGGTTGCCCTTACACCACTACTTGCAATCTGGACCATGGAATCCTCTTGGGGGCAAGCACCAAGCCTGCCAACCCTGTCCTTCTGCCGACAGCCCGGAGGCTACCCACCCTAAAAGTCTAACGCTGAGAGCGCAATACAGAAGCAGCTAAAATGAAAAGGGGTCTTAGAGCAAGAGCCCCGGGGCAAACTCTGGGATGATATATCTGTGAAACAGGCTCCAACTCTCCAGGAAATCTCATATTAGATCACATATTTAATGCATGGAAAATGAACTGGTCAAGTTTTCCTAGTGAAGTTTAAAATAAATGTATTAGTATAGGGGCCTCTAAATACTAGAAAGCACCTTCTACAATTCTTACTTCAAAAGATCCAAAAACTTAAGTTTAATATGGTATCTCCCATGCTATATACAGTTAAGGCCCCAGGATTTAAAAAAAAAAAAAAAAAAAAAAACCCTTCAATTTTTAAAAATAAAATTAACAACAAAACCCCACGTAGTACTTTGGTATAGAGATACTCAATGATTAATACCATCCGATCCATTCTTCTAGGCAGTCCAAGCTGTCACTACACACTATCCTGAAGTGGCTAGCGGTCAGCTGCAGTAGTGAAGGAAGCCTTACCCTGTGGGGTTGGCGTCTCGGCCGGCTGAGAGGCTGCCTGCTGCAAGCCTGGCTCGGAAGCAGAGGAGTCTCCCAGCTCAGGATTTAGAGGGGTCTCCACAGAGGCAGGGGCAGCTGCAGAGGGAGAAGGGAGAACACTGGGCTTGGATGAGGGAGTTGAGGCAAGAGGGGTGCCTGGAGGAGGAGAAGCCTGTGATCCACAGTGTGAGAGTGAAGAAGTGAGGGGAGGCAGCGGCGGTGGCGGTGGTGGCGGCGGCGGCGGTGGTGGCGGAGGCGGCGGCGCTGCTGGCCCTGAGGTAGGCGGTGGAGACACTGGGTATGTTACAGAGTCCAGCAGCCCATTGGGTGCTGTCGGTGACGGAGGCATTTGGGGCACGGGAGAGGAGACACAGACGGGGAGGACAGGCCTGGGGCCAGTAGCTTTGCCAGGAGGGCTGCTAATCATTATCGGAGGAGATGGAGGGAGGGGCGAGAAATTGGAAGTAGACCAGGCACAGGACTTCGCAGCTGGAGGCTGAGAAGAGGGTGTGTTCACAGGAGAAGAAGGTCGAGAGTTTTTGTTCAGAGGACGAGGAACTGTGGCGTAATGGGGAAGAACAGGGTGGAAGGCTGAACCTAGAGATGTTGCAAAACGTGTCGCTGAGTGTCGCAGTGGTGGTGTAGGGGGTGTGGAAGTAGGTGGCAAAGCAGTCACTACAGCGTAATCAGGAGTGGCATCTGACACTGGAGCTGAGATGACTTTAGCATATGATGGAGGAGGTGCTGAAGGAGGCTGGCAACTGGAATACTCAGGAAGTGGAGCGCTATACAGGGAGCTGTCTGAAGATGGAGCTGGACAGAAGGTGGGAAGCAGCAGCAAGGACAGGATAAAAAAGGAGAGAGAAAAAGGGAGCTAGTGAAGCCACAAAACCAGCAATCAGACAAAATGTATCAACGTTGTCGACTACAGTTAGTACCAGAAAATTAGCCAAATCACTGTCTCCACTTGAGAACACTTAACTTGTAAAGAGGATGAAATAAGTTCTCTTAAATATGTGGATTAATACCCTATCTTTCATAAGGATACTAACAGTCTTAACTTTTATTACTTAGTCCACTAAAACAACATCAAAATTATTACAAACAGCAGAATAAACTGAGTTGTTTCAAGCCTGGCAAAATGTCTAGTACACAGGCAAAGAGCACCCAACTCAGTGAGTGCTTAATTGTGGACATTTCTATCTTCTCGGCTCTAACTCCAGACAACCAGGCAGTTAAAAACAATGAGTTAACTTTACCAACTAGCCAATGCTGAACCCCCACTGGCTTCTGATGTAGCTCAGAAAGATTAAAATTCTTTGATAATTACTCAACACCTTAGGCTTTGCCATATCATAAACCTCTATGACTCTTGATAAATTCCACCAGATTGCTCATTTTCACAATACTAGAAAATGCTTAAATAGTTATTTTTGAGAATATTTTTATGTTTTAATTTTTCCTTCAGAGACCTAACTATAACCAACCTAACTTCTTGCTGCATGAAGCATGATACACACAGTGTGATAATTTTAAGCGACTGCACATGGGAAATATCTTCCAAGTTCATTATAAAAAAAAAATCTTTGCATAAAAACACATCCACACTTTATAGCTGAATTTTAGGGCGGCAAGAAGAATTAAAATGACAGAATAAAAATTCCCGAGAGCTTTCTTTTAGTTTCTAAGCAATAAAAGAAACACTGAAGCAGTAACTGCCGAGTATTTATCCCAACTCCACACTGTACTGCCTATGCCCAAGCACTGCACATGTGAAATATGGTAATTCACGATTGCACAGAGCCGCGCCCAGCTCCGGGGCAGGAGACACAAGTCTGCAGACTCCTTACCAGCATTGGACACTCTGCGCTCTCGCTCCCACTCCACTTGCTCCAGCTGCTCCAGGCGCTCTCGGTCTTGCCTCTCCCGCTCCAGGCGCTCCAGCCTCTCCCGCTCCAGACGCTCCAAATGCTCCCGCTCCTGGCGCTGGCGCTCCAGCTGCTCCTGTTCCAGGCGCTCCCTCTCTAGCCTCTCTCTCTCTAGTCGTTCTCTCTCCAGCCTTTCCCTCTCCATTCTCTCTCTCTCCAGCTCCTTCTGTCGCTGCTGTTCTTGCAGCTGCCTGAAATTAAAAATTGAATAAATAAAAAGAGAGCCTGTGGTCACTACTTCCACACAAAGGAGGGCTTCCTTACAGACACCTCGTGCTTTATAGCAATGAAACTAATTCTCAACAGCCGCATGGGCTCCATCAAATAGAGAGCAGCAAATAAACCTCCCACGCTAATCAGCAAGTCATTATATTAATCAGATGATGAAATAATTATAAAACGAAGTAATCTCCTTTTCTTAAAAATGTGGTGGCGCACGCCTTTAATCCCAGCACTCGGGAGGCAGAGCCAGGTGGATCTCTGTGAGTTCGAGGCCAGCCTGGGCTACCAAGCGAGTCCCAGGAAAGGCGCAAAGCTACACAGAGAAACCCTGTCTCGAAAAACGAAAAAAAAAAAAAACGGGAAAAATGTAACATTTTGCCGGGCGGCTGTGGTGCACGCCTTTAATCCCAGCACGGGAGGCAGACCCAGGCGGATCTCTGTGAGTTCGAGGCCAGCCTGGTCTACAGAGTGAGATCCAGGACAGGCACTAAAGCTACACAGAAACCCTATCTGGAAAAAAAAAAAAAAAAAAAATTAACTGCACAAGTTACAATTTCAGAGAAAAAAACAATGATCATAGCTATAGCTGAATAAAAATTTGCTGAATTGAAAATAAACCCAGTTAAGTAAGAAAAAAACTATACATCACTGAAATTTCTTAACTATAGGTAACTATAGTTAACATTTTGGCATAAACATCTAGACCTTTTGTTTTATAACACATACATAAACTTTAAAATTCAGTCAAATCAGTATCATTTCACCCCAACTCTGAAATCTTTTTCTTTGACACAATACATACTGGAAAAATTACCCCAAACCCTTATTCTGACATCTTTAACTGCCATGAGCACATCAACAGCATTGTTGAGTTAAAGCAGTCTCCAGTGCAGGACATAATTTACCCTGGTATGCAGCCAGGACACTGTATATAATAATAAATGAATCTTTAAAGAAAAGACGATTTTTTCAATAACGTGCACACAATGAAAATATTCAACTAAGGTTTGTATTAAAATTTTAATTAGGAGCTAGGGATATGGCTCAGTTGTTGAGTACTGGCTGCTCTTTCAGAGGACCTAGTTTTGACTCCCAGCACCTACACGTTGGTTCACAATCATCTGTAACTCCAGTTCTAGAAGATTCAACACCCTCTTCTGGCCTTCAGGCAAAACATCCACACACTTGAAAAATAAATTTTTAAAAAAGAAAAGTGACCACTGCTAATTTGAAAAAAACGTAGGTTTTAGGATGTTTACATTTTGTGCTTCTCTTTTCATTCATACACACACACACACACACACACACACACACACACACACACACACACATATATCTACATATACACATACATATATATCAAGCTTACAACAAAACAAACATTAGCTTACCGAGTCTTAACACGTCCTTACCCATTTCCTGTTTTAGCTGATTCTTGTGTCTTATCTTTAGATACCCATTTTCTAATGGCAAAAGCCTTTCACAACCACCATCACTACACACACATACACACACAGAGCCATAAGAAAATAACTTGGCTAAATCAATATTCAGGGTTAAACTAACATTATATAATCACTGCCCACAGCTGATCTACATGGTATTCAGACGGCAATTCATCCCCATTCTAATTGCTGCCCCCCTGGCCCCAAAAAGGGCTGTTAACATCTGTTTCTCTAAGCAACACAATGCTTTTAACACAGAGATGGTAGATTTTCTTAGTCATCATAGGTAAGCTCGGTATGGATGTGTGAGTCTGGAAGCAGTACTGAATAGAGACATTTATAAAAAGAACATACTGACTTCAGAAGATTGCTCCACCAGTCAAAATAATCTCTAAGGACTGCCAGTCTATAAAAGTTAAGAGTGTCTACTAAGGAACAAAGTACAATGCCAGGAAATACTTCCAAGTTTACTGATAGATAACTCAAGTATGCAGACGATACACCTTCAAGAGACTGATGCTTGAAGAAAGTAATGAATAATACTGTTAGCCTGCTCATTGAAAAGATGATGTGTATATGTAATTGAAAAAAGTGTCAAGCACAATTTTCTGACTTACAAATCCGTGGCGGCATGAATAAATGAATAATTCCTACCTACATTGAATGGCTTACAAATCTGACTATAATGTTTTAACTTACAAAGTGAGACATCCCCAAATCTTTTTAAGAAGTCTCCAAGATTATACAGCTTGCTTTCCTCAGGATCATCACTACTAGCTTGCATACGGTAATTCATGAAGCCCTTCTTCCTGGAGATCACATACATCCGATTGCCGTCTCTGCCATTAGCAGAATGACCTCCAGAGTGTACTAAAGCACAAGCGCCTGAATTCCAGGCCGTAGGAAAATCCCAACAGGCTTGTTTTCTCTGAGTTAAGATAGATATTTTCAATAATTTGAATGTTTCAGAGAAAACAATTACATAACCTTTCTCAGAAATAAATATAAACAAATACTATTGTGGCCATTAAAGTATTTTAAATATATTGAGTAAAAGATATAGTTTTCTTCTATCACCTAAATATTTTTCTCCAAAACAGTAGACCCCAAATGCAAACAAATGCTGAAAGAACTGGCCACAATGAAATATAAACACACACACACAGACACACACACACACACACACACACACACACACACACACGCGCGCGCGCGCGCGCGCGCATTTAGTTTATGTTTACTTAAGACACAGTCTTGTGAAGCATGTAAAATATAAATAAAACGGCAAGACACATTTTATTCATCTTCACCTTGAATGGTAGTTGGGTAAATACAGATTTCAATTCGAGACAGGGTCTCACTATGTAGCCCCAGCTGGCTTAGAACTCACACTGACCCACCAGCTTCTGTCTCCCAAGTGCTGGGATTAAAGGTATGTATTACTTACTACACCTGGTGTAGATACATTTTTTTTTTAAATTGTACAATGTGGGCGTTTAATCTATTAGTTTAAAAAACAAAACAAAAAAAGCAGGGGGGATGCCTTTAATCCCAGCACTCGGGAGGCAGAGGCAGGAGGATTTCTGTGAGTTCGAGCCCAGCCTGGTCTACAGAGTGAGTTCCAGGACAGGCTCCAAAGCTACACAGAGAAACCCTGTCTCAAGGGTGGGGGGGGGGGGGGGGGTGATAAATAAATAAGTAAATAAAATAAAATAAAAATACAGTTGAGTTTTAACGCCACAAAGCTCCAAAGCTCCTGAGACAAGAGTCAATACTTACGACAAAATCCGATCAGCTCTTGGTCCATCCTGCCTCTGTAGGATAATGGGAGTGCTATACACTTTCATTACTCCAGTTCCTCAGTTCTGTGCTGGGATTATTATCCCCCTTTTATAACTTTCAGATAGTGATGATCTGAAAGCTATTTATAGATATTAACTAAATTATCCTCTATGTTGAGACAAGCACAGGACTGACTCATGTTTCTTAGAATATATTTTTCCATCACAGCCAAGGAAGCCAAATATTAATAACAAGTAGGAACCAGAAACTGATTTAATGAATGATAGACACATGAGTAGAAACCTATATTATGGTATAACAAAGGTATTAGACCAACAAGGTTTAATATTTAAAATAAACATTTATTTTACCAACTAACTTCATACTGATTAAAAAAAAATAAACCTATAAAAGCAATGTCTAGTGTAAAACTCAAACAGCATTACAATGCATCTTACCAATACTCATTATTTCTGGTTTCTTCCCACAGAAATAATTAAGTTTTCAATATTCTTGCATTTACTTCACGTTTCTAAACACAGCAATTTCTTTAGAAACACTTCTTCGGCTAGAGAGATGGCTCAGCCATTAAAGGCTAGGCTCACAATCAAAAATGTAAGAAACATTCCCTCTCGATTTTCCTTGCTCATCCATCATACTTATCTCCCAAGGAAATTTCTAATACTTCCCTAAGCTTCTTCCCACCTCAATAGCACCGCATCAACCCTATGTATCCTTTATCACTTCAATCAGAACTGTAAACAAACAGCTTTATATGGTTCAACATGTCAAATACTCAGGTTTCTTACTCATTCTACTCTCCTTCCCTTCAGACAAACCCACCAAGAGGCCACGGGCTTCCTGATTCCAAGCGGGGAGGCTGTTTCCAGCCTATGAATTACTCTTTCAAGTTCAATCTCTTCTTATAGATTCCAACAATGTTACACAATTCTTGATTTCTTCCCTCTTTTTAACAGACTACAACATTCAGTAGCTTCTCATGAAGCTGTGTAGAAAATAAAACTATTTTTTGAGACAGGGTCTCAAATTCAAACAGATACTAAAGGCACTGACCCACAATGAAGTTAGTATGTTAATACAAATGTATATTTATGTTTAAACACAAATGTATACATAATATCAAAATTCAGCCTTGAATTTGGAAACCACCCCCCCATCTCTGCCATCGAAGTGTTGAGAACACAGTTCTATGCCACTGTCCCTGGCTGGGAAGATATCTTAAACTGGGCTTCCTCCCAGTACTGACTAACATGAACAACGAGCAAACACCAAAAGGAAAGGATGGCTTCTCAACTCAAGAGATCCGCCTGCCTCTGCGTCCCAAGTGCCGAGATTAAAGGTGTGCACCACCACTGCCCAGCACATGCTGTCTTTTTAAAAAACTATTTATTTTTATTTTATGTGTATGAGTGAGTGTTTTGTTTGCTTGTATGTCTGTGCAGTGTGTGTGCAGAGCCTGCAGGGGCCAAAAGAGGGCACTGGACCCCATCCAGAACTGAAGTTGTAGACAGCTTTCAGATGCCACATGGGTGCTAGAAGAGCAACCATTGCTCTTAACCATTAAGCAATCTTTCCAACCCCATGTAAACTGTCTTAGTTATTGTGTGTGTGTCTGTGTGTGTGTCTAGTCTAGCTAATTCAGAAAAATCTACCCCTAAATGAGGTTATATTATACACTTGATTTTAGCTAAAAGGCAGAGAAGGGATGAAACTGTGTTATAATTTCAAGTCTAACTCTAGTGCAATCCTCAGTACACATGAAAAAAAAAATCCAGTACATGGTACATGTCTGTAATCCCAGAGGTGGGGATGAGGATCCCTGCAGCTTGCTATGGATCTAGTCTAGCTGAATCAGCTTGCTCTGGGTTCAGTGAAAGACTGTTTGGAAAAATAATGTGGAAAGCAACTGAAGATACCCGATGTTGCCCTATGACTTCTACATGCATGGGTATACAGGTGCATGTGAGACACACACTGACACTGAAAAAAAACAATAAGGCTTACTGAAGGGAACAGACACTTTTATACCCTAAGACTATTTAATGTATTTTTAGATGTACCACAAGTCACAATTTCAAAGAACTGAAGGACATAATGTATTGTCAGTGTCCTTTCAGTCTGCTGCAAAAGAAGGAAGTGTGAATGTATAGATTTACCTTCTCTGGATTTCCAACTCTTCTTGGGATGGGCCATTTTGAACTTGAGCAGGTAGTTGTGAATTTTGTCTAGGCAATGTTGGCCCTATAAGGGAGGGAAATATTACAGATGAATGTTACCATCCTACCTAGCTGGGTGGAGGAAATTAAACCATGAGAACAACATAAAACCGTCACATATTTAAAAAAATGCATCTTCTTGTCTAGCAAAATAAAATATAAGCTTTATATAACACACAGCAAATGAAAGACTGCAACATAATATTGTCATCATCTTCAGAAGGCTTACTTGAAACAAATGGAAACACCAACAATAAAGGAAAAAAATAAACATTTATATATGAAGAGCTTGAGTAAAACAAGTGTTCAATGAGCACCTGAATAGGCACCTGAGCTTGACATTCTCTAAGACAATGAGACATTCTGTTCAGGGTAACTGTTCATGAGGTGACGAGGAAGAACTTAAATGAAAAACAGAATTAAAAAACTCACCTAAATAGAACACTGGAAATGAAAAACAGGAGAGAGAGAGCATGAGAACCTCATTACTAGACTGAAGGATGCTAATGCATTATCAAACTTGCCCAACTTAAGCTGCCATTTCTGTTTCATGGCATGGCATTTCCAATACTGATCAAACAAGCATTTGCTAAACTCCCATATACTATATCAACCTATTTATAATCTTAACAACTTTTCATTTGAGGTAAGAAAGACGGGGGGGGGGGGGGGGGGGGGGGGGACACCCTGTGTTTACACCAACATGAACTGTCATGAGAAACCACTGACCATCCATTCCCACATCTACATACAATGTAGACCTGCCCTTAGCATCTTAGACTGTCATTAAATTATGGGAAATCTTATTGTCACTGGATATAAAAACTAAGAGAGATACACGTTGTCCCTAGTATAATATGACTAACCTAAGGCTGAGCTAGAACCTTGAAATCCACACGGCAAAAAGCTAGAAAGTAAAGACAGTTTTCTTCCATTTTGAGAAGTGGATTTCTGGCTCCCAGTGACCCACCAAAAACGCCAGGCAGGAATTCTCAGAGCTCTACAGAGCACTACTATAACAAGTAAGTAAATGCTGTGTGCACTAGAGCATGTGATCTGGGAGTGAAGATCAGGAAAGTAGCTCTTTTCTCTTAGTAGAGCAGCCCCACGGTTGGAAGCAAAAGTCCCTCAGGATGTAATACAGCACTGGCACCTCCCAGGTGTAGAAAAACGGGAAAATGATCTGAACTTACCTACGAAATTTTTCATCTCTTTACATGTTTTTAGATTAATCATTTAATTGGCCCTCTAATGACAAATTAGATGGCAACTGCAGCACTATATTTCATTAGATATTAAGTCTCCACTTTGAAAATCAAATATAAAATCAACCCCATGTAATTAACAAGAAAAAACAAAAACACATTTTAAAATCAAAGTCAAATACACACATAAATGTTTACATAAATGAAAATATAACTGTCGTCTAATAAACAGCGTTTGGAAAATTAACACAATGACTTTTTGAGAAAAACTGTCCCATTGTGCTATAATCTAATGCTTACTATTTTATAGAGAAAAGATCCTTTCAGAAAAAGGTAGAGAGCATATGAGTTGGGAGGATAAATTTCAGAACCTATAAAATTGGGGGAGTATAATTTACATACCCATACTTCTATAAAGTGAAAGCATTTGGCAAGGCCAACTTAAAAGACCATTATGGCTTACTGACTTTTAAAAATAACTGAATGTTTAAGCGAAAACTTCAGCCAGTATAAATAATGGAACAGCTGGAAGTCAGAAATCTGACTGTCATGCTCACATCTAAAGAAGGCACTGTATTTCAATGACCCCTTAAATCTATGTTTTAGCTGAAATCTCTAAACTCAAGTCAAAGATGCTAAAATTTCAATCAAACCTTCTTGATATTATCAAACACTTTTTGTTCATTTTTTAAACTGACTCTGGGCCAAGCATGGTGGTATATGCCTGTAACCTCACCATCTGGGAGGCAAGCACAGGAAAATCTTGAGTACAGGGTCACCCTGGGCTATATATACTTACATACTATCAACAAAACAAAACTACCCCAAAAACCCTAACAATCCTGATGACTCATAAAACAAATTGAATAGGGAAATTCACTAGTCTATTCCTGGCACATGAGATGAGAAAAACTTCAAGGAATCCTTTTAAAATGGGGATTTTGATCTACAAATAACTCTTACAATTCTTTGCTATGTAGCTTTATGATAATGAGACATTTGTTTTTCCAGGCATTCTCAAAATCCCTCTCTTTGGCATTTTTCACATTTATATTTAATCTGCTTATTTTGTTTCTCCTCATCAATATTGCCAAGTTGTAAAAACTAGCATATTGAAATATATGTGTAATTGAACATAATTTAATTATAAATATACTATAGTTATTAGATAAAAATTCTAGGTAAATTATGAGCTAGATAATTTAATTATAAATATACTATAGTTATTAGATAAAAATTCTAGGTAAATTATGAGCTAGAAGTACACAATTACATTTTCCTTCTTGTTAAACATTTCAATGGGTTATAAAATTGTTAAGTTGTATCAAAACTATTACACAAACAACAGAAAGCAGAAACTCAGGTTAGGCAAGGCTTCAGTGGCTGTATTTTCTGGAGTGTATATTATTTTTTCAAACGGGCCATATTCTTAAATGAGTATCAATGTTTTCATAAAATATAAAATAGGTACTTTCATAACCACCTCAGTGGGCCAATGACAGTATTTTAACATGTATGGTATGGAGGTGTTCAGTTATCTTTGTGAAGGGGAAAAGAAGAAACCACAGAAATGGGTGCAGAAATGGGCGACCCTGCTCCAGTCCTCCTGGAAGGGAGGAGGGCAGCTAACTGCTTGTGGGTTTCTTTATAACCTCACATGATTGGTCCTGATTGCCCGAGGCTAGAAGGTGCAAAGCAGCATCTGTGAATGACTGTTCCTAATGAAGACAACATGGCGATGCTGCTGATAAGCATCCTATAAATGATGGAAATCTGGTATGAACCGTCTCTCCAACAGGAATTGCCTTCAATGTTGAGTTTTGGTTAAAGCACATTTCACTTACTTGCCCATTTTAATTCTCATAAATCTAGTTTCATATTTAGCCACAGACTATTGAAAAACATAGGACTAAAATACAAGTAGGTGCTACTATATACAATACAATCAAACTTACAGTTGGCAATCAGATTGTAGATTGTACACAATCGAAGGCCGTTATAAAGGAAATCTGTTTTAACCTGTTATTTTATAAGCTTTAAAAATTCACCTTTATTAATTAGGTCAAATCACTTTTTTCCCATTAAAACTAGGTGAACTATCACTCTGCACATGGATCTCAAGCTTTCAAGCACAAGTTACAGTATCAAGTACGTTTTCAAAATGAGCTGAAGAGAGGCCTAATCACACAAGCCCAGGGAACCCCAGGAGAAGACACCACCAGAAGTCACCGATCATATGCTATCTGCAGTGCTAGCTGGAGTCTAGGAGAGGGGAGGAGACATTTACAGCAAGTCATAAAATAGGCGCTCACTGCTGTGACCATCAGCTGGAGCAAATCGAAATACAACTTAAGTGACCATGAAATACATTAGAATTTTCTTTTTTCCCCCTTATTTACAGCATGCTTGTGTAAACCAGTAAGCACATCAACTCAAAAAGGATTTTCCTTAAAGAAACCATATCAACAACACTGAGAAACTACACTGAAAATTCTGAGTCACATGGATAAAGCACACACACTAAACTATTAATTCAATTTTTTTTTCTGCATACACCACCTTACAGTTTTTTCTCATGAAATAATCTAGCTAGTCAAGGTATATATGAGTCAAAAAGGCACATGTGAATCAATAAAAAGTTCAAATAATTAAGACTTTTTTTGAAACTTGGATTTTCAAAATAGTCAGATTTTGATTAAGATTCAGAGTCAAATAGAAATAAAAAGAATTCAAGCAATGATATGTAGCTACATACTTGTCTATATAAACAATTTCCTTGGGCAAAATTTATATAAAATATAAATGATTGCTCCAACCTGGGGTGGCTAAGTGACATACCTAATTTACCCATGCAAATAATACATGCATGTATACACATGTATGTTTATGAGAGTGAGCATGACAGAAAACTATCTATAAGCCTAGATTCAGTTCTAAGCCACAGAAGCCTAACCTACTGAACAGAGGAGGTTGTCGTCTGAAACCAACCTAAAAGAGTGAGTTTACATCTGCCTGTACAACATGCACATCTAGAACTCATCAAGGTAAACAAAGCTCTTTTCAAACAAGGCACATTTACATTACTCAAATCATATGAAAAATGCATATACCCCTTTTCCTTTAAACTAAATTGAATGTCGGCTCCCAAAGAAAATTAGAATTTAAAAAACTTCTCTCATTTATATTGGAAAAGGTGAACAAAAATAATTTGAAGATTCTATTCTAACTAAATCCTCACTAGTAAGCCAGCTCAAAAGTTAACTCAAAACCACCTACATGAACACAACAAATATCACAACATAAAACAGAAGCTTGCTTTATATCCCAGATACCACAAACCAGACTATGGCCTAGGGGACAAAAGTTATGGCAATGTGCAAGTCGTATGTACCACAGCTTGAAAAAGTAATGTAAACATAATGTTGCTTACCACAGAAAATACATCGCAAATTAGTGCTGTCCTGGGTAGCAGTAACCTTGCTCTGGGCTGCAACAGACACCTCCGTGTTAGAAGCTTCGAAAGACAATGGGGCCATCTGAAGAACTTCACATTAACTAAAAGGTGTTTTGAAATGTTCAAAATGTATTTATACATACGTCCTATCTAGATCCTCATTCTGGAAACTTTATCACTTTACAGCTTAAATATTTCCTGAGTTATACAATCAAAGAATGCAATCTGCATTTTAAGACTGTATTCTTTAAAACGTTAGTGAAAATGAAGTATAGAAAGTTAAAATATATGGCCAATAGAATTAATTTCATGAGGTCTACCCCCCATTTATGAGAACTGCATTAAAAAAAATTCCGGGGAATTACTTAAGATTAATTTAATTATGATTGCTCACTTATATCAGCTGGAAAAAAACAAAGGCTATCAATTTAAAGGCCGTAATACATATTCACTGATATGAGATTACTCTGTACTTAATAACTAACGAGGTTTACAGAGACACACTTTACTACTATTTTTTCCCTAGATATGAAAACATACTCGACAAAAATTACTAAAAATTCTGTGTAGCCACAACAACTAGCCATTTAACCTAAATGATTTACATTAAAATTTAGTTTATCAATGAAATAAATTCATAAATTCTTTTTAGGAAGAAAAACTCAAAGAGAAAGTGGTAATTTCTGAAAAGAGGAATGCTTTATCCAATCAAGGCAATACCCAAAATTGGGATGAGAAAAAACTTTTTCTTATTAGTAATAACATGCAAAGGGTGCATCAATAATTTCTCAGAAAACCCTTTTCAGCAAGGCAAAGATTTTCTTTTCTTATGGGTACTAGCTAAGAAAACAGTTAATGGCTTACATCCACGCTGGTTTAAAGAAGAGCACATTAAAGCGAACAAGACAGCATTTTAGTATATTCTTTAAATAAGACAATGTCTGCTAAGTAAAAACCAGAACCAAACCAATTTAGATTCAAAGGCTTATCTTAATATGGTAATAAGTTATAAATACAAATAATTTTTCATCATTGTTAGGAAGACAACATAATCTAATTAAATCTTAAAGTCTTAGATACAGTAGGTACTTCAAACACCAATAAAATTGATAATGCCAGCTTTGCTAAGTATTTCCACCCACCCATCTATTAAAGACCATGCACAATATTTAAGTGTAGTAACTAACCACAGGCACACAAAGGAAGACAAGCTCAACAAGCTAATGAGACCATGCTAAAGGAGATAAACACTTTAGAAAAATTATGATAATTACATTTTAAACTCCTTTATAAAAATCTTTCTCGCTGGTGTTTATAAAAGCTACTTCCACCAAATCTGTATTGGTAAACATGCCCAGTCATCAGGTTTACCCTTGAGTTCCTTTAATCCATATTAAACAGGAAAACATACAAGGACAATTAAAAGGCTCACATGAAAAACCTGAGAAAATATCTTGCTTCTGACAGCAAAGGAGCGTCCCCATCCCATGAGTAATCATTTCAGCAGAAAGTCACCTGACAACTGTCAGAATGCAGGCATCGTTAGCACTGCAGACCGATTCCACCGAGAACTATCTTTCTCACAACTCAACTACTAAGGAATGTCCCCGCTTGTCGTCGTTAAGCATCTTCTTTCTGGTGACTTTTATTTCTGTTAACAAGTAAAGCACTGATTGACTTTCTGATAGGGTTGCTTGAATTCTACTGCAGTTTGCATTTCCCGAAGATACTAAATTATTCATTCCATCATATGCATAAGGCTAACAGCTTCCTGCTTACTGTTGATGCCATTAACTCTTTCTTTACTAAATCTGAGAAGGTTGGTTTATACAGGTAAATACATTATTACCAGTTTTAATGCTAGCATTTATCTATGAAAAGACACTTTTTTTTTTTTTTTAAAGCAAGCCGTACAACAGAAGCTTAGTTAGGGCTAAGGAAACCAGGGTGAAATGCAAGGGAAAACAAACCTAAAGCAATGAAAATTAATCAAGAATGTAGAACTTAACATCTTTATGATATTTCTGCAAGTAATATAGCCCTCCTCATCAACTCCTTTGGCCTTTTGATCTTGTTCAGATGCTCATCTGTCTCTTAATGTAATTTGTGAAACAGCTACCCTTCAGGCTTTGCCCCTGCCTTTACTATTTTTTACCATTTGACTGTTTTTTTTAAACAAGGAAACAAAAAGACATTAAGTGAGGTGATCTGTAATGGAAAATGGCAGGCTTCTTAGCTTTGATCCATCATTCTATTGCATTTTATTATTACCTGTAACTACTACAGCAGACCCTTAAAGCATTTGTGCTTAAAAAAAAAAATTAGTGAGCTGGGCAGTGGTGGCACACGCCTTTAATGCTGCACTTAGGAAGCAGAGGCAGGCAGATCTCTGTGAGTTCGAGGCCAGCTTGGTCTACAGAGCGAGTTCCAGGACAGCCAGGGCTGTTACAGAGAAACTCTGCCTCGAGGGGGGGAAAAAACCTAGTGGTTTCTATTATTAACTATTAGCCATCTTAAGGTAATTTGTAAGGGGAACACTATCCATCTCAGCACTTTGTATTTCTAAGGATTAAGTGAGACGTTTCCTTAAAGACTGGTTTGGGTTTGATTTGTCTTCCTGGAATCTGGTCACTGAGTGACAGAGCTCAACGTTATCATTTAAAGGAATGGTATTCACACTTCTGGTCATTTCAGTAAAGACCCTCAGACTCAGAGGAAGTGAAAGCAAAGGCTAAGGTAAGGACAGAGTGGAGGCAGGCACAGGAGCTATCCGCATTAAAAACAGTTAAATCCCTAAAACAGACTGAACAGGCTATATTTATATACCTATGTGGTGGCACACACCTTTAATCCCAGCACTCAGGAGGCAGAGACGGGAGGATCTCTGTGAGTTTGAGGTCAGCCTGGCCTTCAGAGCAAGTTCCAGGACAGCAAGGGCTGTATTAAAGAGGTCATGTCTCGCCGGGCGGTGGTGGCGCACGCCTTTAATCCCAGCACTCGGGAGGCAGAGCCAGGCGGATCTCTGTGAGTTCGAGGCCAGCCTGGGCTACCAAGTGAGTCCCAGGAAAGGCGCAAAGCTACACAGAGAAACCCTGTCTCGAAAAACCAAAAAAAAAAAAAAAAAAGAGGTCATGTCTCAAAAGAAAAAAAAAAAAAAAAAAGAAGCCATGAATTTGAGGGGGGATGGGAGGGTTTGGAGGGAGGAAAGGGAAGAGGAAAATGATGTAATTTATATTCTAATTTAGAAAAGTTTTAAATCCTAAAAACAACAACCAAGTTCCAGATTGCAGGGCATTATTCAGAGACATGAAAATTACAAACAGTAAATTTATTCAAAGCAACGAGCACTTTAAGGTTTGTTTGTTTGGTTTTTGGTTTTTCAAGAAAGGGCTTCTTGGGGCTGGAGAGGTGGCTCAGAGGTTAAGAGCACTGGCTGCTCTTCCAGTGGTCCTGAGTTCAATTCCCAGCAACCACATGGTGGCTCACAGCCATTTGTAATGATGTCTGGTGCCCTCTTCTGATGTTCAGGTACATGCAAGCAAGCAGAACACTGTGAATAGATAATAAATAAATAAATCTTTTCAAAAAAAAAAAAAAAAAAGAAAGGGCTTCTCTGTGCAGCTCTGGCTGTACTGGAACTTGCTCTGGAGACCAGGCTGGCCTCGAACTCTCAGAGATCAGCCTGCTTCTGCCTCCCAAGTGCTGGGATTAAGGTGAGCACCACCCCTGCTAGGCTAATATTGCATTCTAAAAGCCCTTTCACAGCATTATTTCAAATTTTGTTTTGAAACATGTATGCTTAATGAAAGAAATCATCTCTCAAGAAATGGAGCACTGTGTAGTTATAACCACATACGAAAAAAAACCCCAACATTATCTAGATCTCTCACTTTTGATTTAATCTAGAGGAGTATATATATATATGTATTTGGCTTCCTCTCCTTTGCCACCGAAGGTAATCTTTCTTCAACTTACGGTTTCAAATGTACTTATCATTTACTTTTAAAAAAAAGAAGAAAAATGGCTGTAAACAATAGATAAATTGCAGATCATTTACTACACACACTGTACAGGCCCCTCAGTCCACCATGTCTGGTTAGTCCTTTATTTTCAACCAAGGAACAATAGACTGTCTCTAGCTGAAGAAACTTTAGGGGTCAGCTCTACTAGAGGCTCAGTGGCCGATAATTTACCAATCCTTTCATATCCTGATGTTCTAAAGACACACTAACCAGTGCCTCCTCATTCATTTCACTAGTTCTTCCTCCTAAGCACGGATCAAGACCTGTCAACACATCAATCACCTCTCGTGTCTTCCTGCCCTTTATCATTCAGGTGTCAGACATATACTCAGAGAAAACAGCGCACTTCGCCGTGGCAACATGTGTAGTGACGACCAGAGCATCTGCTGATTTTCAACCAGCATTATCTACTCAGCTGCACAAACTACAAACAGAGCTGTGACACCTCTTCCCTTTACTCTTATTGCTTGATCCAAAGCCTGTCCACGAAGCCTCCTCACTTCCCTTCCGTCTTCACTGACACTAATTGTTTGGTGATCTACTGCTTAGGAGCGTTCAGGATTGAGAAGTTTAGCGCATACTCAGGGGAGGAAGGAACACTCTTCTGTTCCATTCCCCATACTTTTTATTTTTCTATTCTTGTTTTATAATGTATATACTATGCCAACACCAAAGTGTGTGTGTGTGTGTGTGTGTGTGTGTGTGTGTGTGTGTGTGTGTGTGTGTGTGTGGTTAAGTAATATCAATTTGGCTACTTTTCAGCAAGAATTGAAACAAAAAAAATTTTTTTTTGAGACAGGGTTTTACTGGATAGCACAACTTCCAAAAATATTCCTTAAGAATATGGAGTTGGAGAGATGGCTCCATGGTTAAAAACACTGGCTGCTCTTCCAGAGGACTCAGGTTTGAGTCCTAGCACTCACATCAGGAAGCTCACAACTGCCTGTAAGTCCAATTCCAAGGAATCTGACGTCTTCTTTGGGCCTCAGTGGGCAACTACACATACATGTA